ACGTCATGTCTTTTCAAATTATTATTTTTTATTTTTATGTTACATTCTATTTGTCATGTAGCGTACTCTATAAATTATACTCCTTGTTACACAATAACGAAACAAGTGCAATAGCGCTTATCGTTCAAGTCTTTATTCCCACTCTATCATGTAGTTCATTTATTTATATTCTGTACTCTTACGGTGAATACAGTTTTTTATTATTATTATTATCTGAGATTACATGATATAAAATATGAAAATTAAGTATAAATCTTAATTTTTGTATTCAATACTAGAAACAAAAATAAATTTTTGGTTTCAAAAGTATCGTTTCTTTCAATTCAACTGTATGTTCAGTAGAACCAATTGAAACATGTTCAAAGTATTTTGCATTTCTTACGTTTCCTCAAGTATCGTTAAACTCACTTGAAATGTAGTTCTGAACTCCACCCAAAAATGATCGTGCTCACTTCCTATTCACGTCTACAAGTTGTAATAGCAAGGTGTAATAGCATTTATAGTAGCAGTATATATAGTGATTTGGTATCTATAATTAACATAACAACTCCTCAACGTAAATGAGAAATCATCGATAAAATTCTTCCTCGTTTTTTTTCTTTTTTGCATATGCAAACTTCTTTGCAGTTTTTCCAATATCACAAGATTGAAAAACATGAAGATAATAAAAAAATGTGAACTGTCACGGCCTGAGATAACTGTGTCAAAACTATTTTTCGGCTACAATGCTGGCTGTTCAAGTTTTTATTCATTTTATGGGGTTGTATTAGTGATTTACAATGTACATCCACGTACTGTAACCCTCTTCAGGGTTACAGTTATTTAAACTCATCAACGGTAGTGTTTGTGTGTTTTTCCTTTGTTTGTTAGGGTGTCCTAGTCTATAGCTGTGGTCGTTGTTCGATGGGTATCGGTTTGTGTTAAGCCAGAGGTGGTATGGTTGAGTCTTCAGAGTGTTCCAGGCCGTGTACTATCCGCTATCTGATAGCCAATGGATATTACTCTAGGTTGTTTTAGATCTACTCCGTAGGGACTTCCACTAATCCCAGGAGTCTGGCTGGGGGAACGGTGGCTTTTTCCGTGGTATCCTTTTGACGCCTCCACGCGGCCTTTAGGGGGTGGTCAGGGTGCCGTTGGCCGCGGTGTTGTGGCTTCTCATGGTTTTTGATGCGAATCTGCTTTGCAATTCCTGAAATCTGAAGTTGATTGGAGTAATATCTATTCGGTTATAGAAGTCTTGGGAGGGATACCGGTATGGGAGGTTATGGATATTGTAAAATGTTGCTTTCGAGTTGTTGAGATGAGACATAAACGCTGATAAAATTTAAGCTATACAGGGTGTTCCTTAAACACATGCTAATTTTTAAGGAGGTAATTCTTAGACCCATTTTAAGAAAAAAACTTCCTATGGACGTATGTCCTAAACGCCTTAACTTTTGAGATACAGGGTGGCAAAGTTTTCAAAAATAATCAGTTTTTTAATAATAACTGAGATAATTTTGTAGACATCTTTGGCATATTTGGTACATATGTTCCATGCCTCAAGGCGCATTTTCTGATGTAC